GGGGGAGGCTGGGAAGGGATGTGAAGGGTAAACAAAAGGAGGAGGCTGCAATCCTTGGTAAGAAATGTACACATTATCCTGCCCATGTAATTGTAACCCCTCTGTACAGTATCTTCACAAATAAAATAAAAAAAAATAAGCTCTTTAAGAAATAGCTAATAAGAAACCTTAAATAAATATTGTCTGAAAGACACCAATAAAAGTTATATATAGTCTACACAAGGAGCATGCCTTTATATGGCATTCTCAAAGAGGCAAAACTATGAAGAAAACAAAAAGATTAAAATTGTCAAGGTCTTTGGAAGAGAGAGGTGAAATGGGAATGTTTAGGAGATGGTACAGTAATGATTCTGTATGACACAGTGATATACACAGTTTATACATTTGTTGAAACCCATAGGAGACATAACACATAGTGTGAACCCTTCAGTTCACATTTTAGTTAATAAAGTATTAATACTGATTCTTCATTTGAAACAAATGTATCTCACAGATGGAAGATTAACAGTAGGAAATTAGAGGAGATGGGGTCATGAATGGAATATATGGAAGTTGATCTCACTCAGTTTTTCTACTCAACATAAACCAGCTCATCATCAAAAGTTCTTAAAAAGACAGTATGACTGATTTTGTTGATGGCTGAAAGGGTTGAGTGCCCCACTCTGACATGTTCCATGTATGCACTTTACTAGCCCTTATCATAAGTCATCCTTGAATTAATCTACACTCAGAAAAAATGGAAAAATACGTTTCCAAAGGAAAGACTTCTTATGATATTTTTACTTAGGGAGTACAAATGATGGGATGAATGTTGATATTGGTCTCCATACCAGAACTTACAGAATTTAATGAGTTTTATAAGAATTTTATCTATTCGTTCATGCCTGGCTCTTTGAATTAGGAATGGTTATGCACTTGTAATTTAAGTTGAGCTTTCTTAAGATTCCCATAATGCTTGTTAACTAGATCCTCAAATTCAGCTAAAAGATTCTAGTGGAGTAGATAACAAACGAGACTCGGGATCCTGCCTTTTAATGATATAAGAACTTGAAGATTACAGTTTTAGAAACTTTGGCTAGGATATCAAATGTAGTCAGTGTCCTAACAGACTATAAGTTGATTTGGATTTTCACGTTCTCATTTGAATTATGGTGATTTATTTTACCAAAACATGATAGAAAATGAATCTTCTAATATAAGGTTACTTAATCTTGTGTGAAGTCAATATATATATACATATACTATATATATAGATGTCATATATGATATATGTACAATATGGCATAACATGTACTCTATAATAAGGTATTGATATCAAAGTTTTAAATTAAAGTGCTCAAATTTCAAAGCTTTAGGGAGTGGAACTGTGGCTCAATGGTAGAGCATTAGCCTTGAAAAGCTGAGGGACAGTGTCAAGGTGGAGTTCAAGCCCCATGACCAACAACAACAACAAAAAAAGTTTTAAAAAATTCACTCATCAAATTTTCCCTTAGTTGAAACTAAAAATACATAATATGGTGGCATAAAATTATCCTTTATTTTAAATATAAATATTAATGCTGGGTGTGGTGATGTGATACTAGCCCAGGAGGATTTCAGATTATGGTAGAGAATGTACCTGGAAAATATAAGGCTCTATTTGGAAATACACTAAAACACACAAGTCTGGGAGCATGACTTAAGAGCTAGAGTGCTTGATGATGAAACTGAGTTCAAACCTTGGTACTACCAAACAAACTAAAAAGGAAACAAATATTATCATACCAATGGGAGGTCTGTAATGCACCTTATCTTCCTATGCCTGCATTTTTCAGTCTCTTCCAAGATTATCACTATACTGAATTATTAATTTATTTAGTGTTAATTTATTTGTTAATGTAGTTAACAGTATCCTTAAGCCAATATTAGTTTACTGACTACATTGAAATATAGTTTTGTTATCTAGAAGTTATGTTATGAGTCCCATGGATTTGCTTCCTTTATTGATTTGTACACTGATGAGGACAGAGATATATTTTTTCAGTCAGGAATAGTTATATGAATGCTTAATATTTAGAGATATTGGGACAGAAGGTTCCATAGGATTAGATATTCCCTTCTAATTTTAACATTTCTGCCTATTGCTATTCTTATCAAATATTTTGTTTTGAGTTTTCTATTTTGAAGAAAGTTAAAGCAATTTTCCTTTTTTAGATGTTTCATGGAACAATCTTAAAAGAGCTAACTAGTCATGAAGAATGGAGTCATTATAATGAAAATATAGTTGAAAATCAAAAAGATTTTGTTTTTGTAAAATTCAGTGGCCTTCACTTAAAATCAGTGGAAAGTTTGCAATCATGCATCTCTCTTAGAGTCTGCATTTTCTCAAACAATTTTATTACAGATATTTATCCACTGCAAAATTGTATAAAATTAATCAAACTTGATCTCCATGGAAATCAGGTAAGCAGTAATGATTTTTTTCATATAAATGAAATTTATATAGAATAAGTACTTACATTTTCTGTGTATAAAATTGTTTCCAAATTGTCTGTCACCTAAAATGTAAACTAAAATTAAATGGAAAATATGTAATATGTATAAACACACTATGAAAATATAAACAAATAGATTAATGTAAAATATACAAATAATGTATGGTTTGTTATGTTTTACATTTTATTTCTTAAGGTTGCACTCTAAATTAAGAATAGTTTGGACACTTTTTTATTTCCTTCCATACTGTGATTTGAATTGAGGCCTTTACATTAATTCCACTTAAACCACACACTACAGATGTTTAATTCTTTGTTCAAGAAAAAATGTTTTGAAAAGGATAGAATTGGTCTATTACCAAAGAATTTTTCACTGAACAAAATATTACATTATGAATTTCATAATACTGTTAAGAACAGCTTATTCCCAGTGCCCACTGTATTTAGTTTTCCCAGTCATGCTTCAAATATTTCATTTGATTACTTAGGAAGTTGCCATTTGGGAGATAGTGGAGTTTAGATGTTTAGTTTTTCTTTCTTACTATTTTTCATGGAATTTGTATAAATATGATATTTAAGCTTAACAATCTATCTTTAACACCATTTCAGATAAAAACTCTGCCAGATACCAAATTTTGGAACGGATTAAAGAATCTCAAACTCCTTTATCTTCATGACAATGGGTTTGCAAAGTTAAAAAATGTGTGTGTGTTATCTGCCTGTCCAAACCTCATTGCCCTCACTATGTTTGATTGTCCAGTCAGCCTTAAACAAGGATACAGACATGTTCTTGTTAACAGTATATGGGCTCTCAAGGCATTGGATCATCATGTGATTTCTGATGAAGAAATAATTCAGAACTGGCATCTTCCTGAAAGATTCAAAACATTTAACCACCGACTTTTCTTTAATTTCTGCCCTGCATTGAAAAAGGTATTCTTCTGTTTAGGGTTTCACTTAAAACAAATTTATAAAGTTTTATCTTCTAAGTTCTAAACATAAATATGGGGACTGTTTAATAGTTGTGCATCATTTAGATAAAATATGTGAATGTATCAGTAATGTGTTTATATCTGAAAATTGATGAGTTTTATGCCTCAAGCATAAAATTATTGAGTTGAAAAACCAAGTTGTAAAGAATATTTTTGTTTTATTAATTGAAGTAGATCTTTATTCTGTTTTATATAATGATTCCATTGAGAGGTATTTTATATTACTCAAATGTCATAAAATTCATATTATTAGATGAGTATGAAATACTAAATTCTTAAATAAGTATTATGTGGCATTGTCATAATCAAATCTTCATTGGCATAAAATGTTGGTAAAAGTTGAAACCTAGAAGTTACAGAATACTGGATAGATAAGCATAAGACAAGCATTCTTCATAACTTATGCATGTTAGTTAAAGAAAGTTACTAAAAGTACAGAAGTGATTATTTCCTCAGCTATAGAGAAAAATTAATTTTTTAGAAAAAGTAAAATATATTCTAGGTGTTTTAAATATATTTTAATATGTGGATTCACATTTAACAATAGAATACATTTTGAGAGACATATTAGATAATTTTATTATTGTCAAAATATAACCTAGTCTTGTTACACAAACAAATTTAGCTTAGATGTCACTTGGCGATATAATCTAAGGAACCAGTACTGTATGTTTGGTCTGTCATTAAGTAAAAAAATCATTATGTGGCACATGACTGTATATACACAGAAAATTAATTTGAATAAGCATCACAAGTGAAAGACATACATATTGAATAATGGCTATGATTGGGAAATTTAAAATGATAAAATTGGAATATTTTTACATAACTGCTTATAAATCTGTAAAAGTATGTCACTCTTAATTATTTTGTAATATTAGTGTTAACATTTTTGAGTTTTAATAATAATGGTTAGAAAATAAAAATTAGCCTTTTTTTATTGCCAGTCCTGGGGCTTGAACTCAGGGCACTGTCCCTAAGCTTCTTTTGCTCAAGGCTCAAGCTTTTTCTGTTTATATGGTTCTGAGTAATCGAACCCAGAGCTTCATGCATGCTAGGCAAGCACTCTACCACCAAACCACATGCCCAGCCCCTCAAAGTAGCCATTTTTTAAGTGGAAATAATTTTCATCAATAGAACCCAGTAAAAGGTAAGTTTTTATTTATCTTTAGATAAATACTTTGTAAGCATTGTGTAAGAGCAAAAGTAATGTAAGGCTTTTTGGATTATTAAGATTGCTTTACCTTACCCATAAAAATCATGTGCCTTATCCCCAATTCATGTCAAAATTTAATTCCAATGTGATATTGTTTGGAGATATTTTGGGACTTTGAAAGATGAATTGACCATCAAAGTGAGTTTACTGCTGTCACAAAGGAAGCTTTAAAGAGATCTCCATTTTGTTTTTGTTTTTATTTGTGGTGAAATTGAGCACATGGTTTGCACATGATAGTTTCTTCCTTCTATCAGGTGAAACCACAATGGGAAGACATCTTCCATAAACCTGAAGGCAGTTATTCAGAAGCTAGACACTGAATTTTCTGGGATCTCCACCTTGTATTTCATAGCCATTTCTGTTGTTAGTTATTCAGCTTATTACACTTTGCTCTAGCAACTTGAGTGGAATAAGAAAATTGAATCAAAAGAAGAAACTGGAGAAGCATGACATGAAAGCATTTTTCCAGAAACAGTAAACCCAATAAAATGCCAAAACTAGAAGAAATTCTTCACATCCTCTTATTTATTGAGAACAATGATGGTCCAAGTGACAGATGGTACCAGTTGCTATAAATCACAGAATAAGTTTCATGGAAAGGCCAAAGGACAAGCAAAGTTACAATGAGTAGCAGAACCCATCTGGTATGTGCAGAGCCCCATCTGTGATAGGATGGTTGGAATCTCCAGGAAAGATCTTAGTTTCTGCCATATCAGTGGAACAGTTGACAAGTTAAATAAAAAAATTCAATGTGGTGGGAGAGAGGAGGAGGAGTTAGTGGAGGGGAAGGGGAAGGATGGGAAGGGATAGGAAGGGGAAACAAAGAAGGAGGCTACAATGCTTGATAAGAAATGTAACCCCTCTGTACAGTATTTTCACAATAAAAAAAGAATGCTGAACTTTCATAGAATGAATTTGTTAAACTGAGAAGAAATATATGGAAATGTTGAGAAAAGAATAGTGAGAGTTTGGCTGGGAAGGTGGCTCAATGGTAGAGTGCTTGCCTTGCATGCCTGAAGCCCTGGGTTCGATTCCTCAACACCACATAAGCAAAAAGAAAAAAGCCGGAAGTGGCTGCTGTGGCTCAAGTGATAGAGCGCTAGCCCAGAGTTCAGGCCCCACGACCGGACCCCCCCCCAAAAAAAAAGAATAGTGAGAGTTCAAATCCAGGATAACTTATATATAAATAGAAATAACAATAGAGAATTTAATGCAAATAGAGAAAAAGCAATGATTAAAGAAACAGTGGGGAAAGTATCTTGAATCTGAGTACAGACAAAATCCATGAGAGAACTGCATATATATTTTCTTTAAAAACCTTTGCTATCCAGCTCCCTAGTTGTGGTAGAAAAGGAAGGAAAAGAACAGAGTATTCTAAGTATTTATACTTCAACATATTTTATTAAAAAATCTCTACTAAAATAGATGTGTTCCTATGATTAGTGAATTAATAAGATAGAATGGAAAACACTTGCAAGACTTAAAGGTATTGATAGAGATTGGCACAGTCAAGTGACAAAAAGTGGTTTAATGTTTTCAGAGTTTACACACTATGTTTGACATGTCAAATAATATTGAAAATATAGCTGGATCAAAATGCTACCTAAGAACCTAGGAGACAGGATTTACCTTGCAATATCTTGAGGAAATATATAAAGCCTTTACAGACCTGATTTTTTTTTCTAGACAAATCATCCTTCATTTGTAATTTGGGGGAGGATGGTAATTGGATTGATAAAAGAAAAAACTAAACCCAAGTATTTCCTGATTCATGAATCATAGTAGTTCCATACCAAAAGCAGCTAGTACAGACATGGAAGCAAGAGAAAGAACTTTTATAATGTGGCTGCAGAAGTGATATACACAAAATATTTTGGATTAAGTACTATGGCTCCTGCCTGGAATCTCAGCTACTTGGGAGGTAGAGGTGTCATACCAACTAGGAGGGAAGAACAAATAAGAGGATCACATGCCAGGAAACATAATAAAGTTGTGTTAGAAAAAATCATTGAAAAGGAGTTGGGAGCTGATACCAATGGCTCACATCTATGATCATCGCTACTTAGGAGGAAGAAATCTGAGATTGTGATTTATAGCCAACCCAGATGGCAAAACCCATGAGACTTATCTCAATTAACTACCCCAAAAGTGGGAAGTGGAACTATGGTTCACAAGGTAGAGTGCTAGCCTTGAGCACAAAAGTTCAGAGACATTGCCTAGGCCCTCAGTTCAAGAGCAGGGACTTGGCTCAGTGCTTGAGTTCCTGCCCTCCAAACCTCAGCCTTTGCTAGTTAAACCCCAGTAGTATCAAAACAAGAAAAGCAAGAAAAGACATTTGATTGATTAAAGTTAAAAGTTCCTTCTTTGAGGTTAGTTGGTGAGTTTTGATTGGTATAGTTTCTATTTATTATTTGCATTGTCCTTTGGTTTGTTTACATGGTGATTTATTATTATTACTGGTTTTTTATTGTGAAAATACCATACAGAGGGGTTACAATTACATGAGCAAGGTAATGAGTACATTTCTTATCAAGCAGTGTTGCCTCCTCCTTTGTTTCCCCTTCCTATCCCTTCCCATCTCCTCCCCGCCCCAAAGTTGTAAATTTTGTTCTTCGACATAAAGTCTTGTACATCTCATTGCTGCAATGGGTCCACCTGTATCCCTATTTAAACGATTTGTTTTTTCCCTTCCACTCCCCAAATTATACCAATATATTTGATGTTGGTACATGGTGATTTAATGTGCTTCACCCAATCTAGACTAATAAGCTTGTCAATTCGAATTTTAACAGTATGGTGGGGTTTTTGAGAGGAGTTTATCCCAGAAATTTAGGCCTTAATTTATAATGGCCAATTTAATACATTGGTACAGGGAATATAGAATATAAGAGGCAGATTGAAGACATTTGCTAGGCTGGATTTATTTTGTGGAAATGAGTGAGGGAGAAAGAAAAATGTGGGTTTACTTAGTTGAGAAGTCAAGAATATTTTTAATGACTACAGGCCATAAAATATAATATGTATTTGATGAAATAGCTATTTGTTTTTGATATGTAAGTAAAGAAATAAAACAGGAGATTGACTTATAAGGCTGTTACTTAAGAAGCATTTCCTGACAAGTAATACATTTGTATAATCAGTGTATATTACTAAGCAGTACCATGGAAGTAATAACTTGAAGCAAGGAAGGTAATCTTCAGAGATTACTGTTAGGCTTTAAAAAAGAGGTAGCCGAGTAAGAACTGCACCACGCACGTGGTATTCAGGTAAGGGGTAGGTTTATTCAGTAGACCTGCTGGGACCAGGCAAGGTTGTCACTCCACGTAGCTGGGAAAGAGAGAGCTGGGAAAGAGAGAGAAAAGAGCTAGAAAAGAGCTAGAAAAGAGCAGAGAGAGAGAGCATCTGGGCCTGGGCTAGGCCTTATCTAGGGTATGGGCTGAGAAAGGTGCGGCCACATCAAATTCAGATGTGACCTCAGTGGATGCAGATGTGACCTCTTCCAGGTGTCCCAGTTGCCTAGGTACTGGGCAGGTACTGCAGGTACTGGGCAGAGACTTTGCTGCGAGGAGGGTGGATCTGCTAGCCATCCAGGAGCGGACCTTACAATTACCAAATAGGAATAATAATATTTTTAAAAATGACCTCAGAGGCCCAAATGCTTGACTATTTTATAAAAGAGGAGTTAATAATATAGGCTGAGAAATGAAAAAAATAAAAATAGAAAAATTGGGAACATAATGTTATAACAGCTCAATAAAATTAAATTACAAAAGCTGTGTAAAGTGCACACCCATAGCACTTAGGAGGTCCAGGTAGGTAGGAAGATCCTAAGTTTAAAGCAGCCCCAGATGAATTTATTTGAAATGTGTATTGCGAGTAAAGGAATGTGTCTGTTTCCAGTAGAGCAAAGGAGACACCTGTAATAGGGAGGGAGAATGCTATGCCCATAGAATCTGAGAAGGATTTTGCTTCTATATGGAGGAGTAGCCAACATGATAAAGATTTTTGTATGAGGAAGTGAGATAAGAGGCAGTGGCATGATTTGATAGTAGATCTGAGAGGTTTTTTTGTTTTATTTTGTGTTGTTTTTTGACAGGACTGGAATTTGAATTCAGGGCTTCGTGCTAGCCAATCAATGCTAATTAAGAACTTCTACTTGAACCACTCTTCCAACAGACCTTATTCCCAAGCAGGGTTCTCAAAAGTCTGTATCTTGCCCTAAGTTTAAAGCCTAGAGGAGGCCAGCACTGGTGGCTAATGCCTGTAATCCTAGCTACTCAGGAGGCTGAGATCTGAGGATCTCAGTTCAAAGCTAGCCTGGGCAGGAAACTCCGTGAGACTCTTATTTCCAATAAACCACTAGAAAACTGGAAGTGGCGTTGTGGCTCAAGTGGTAGAGTGCTCGCCTTGAGCTGAAGAGCTGAGGGACAGTGCCCAAGCCCAGAGTTCAAGCCCCACGACTGACAAAAAAAAAAAAAAAGCCTAGAGGAGGGAAAAAATCTTAGCAAAGTTTTGTCCTGCAAGTATTTTATTTCAATGGATTGTGTGTGTGTGTGTGTAGGAAACAAAAACAGTTCATATAATCATTAATAGTGAATAATCAGAAATTGGAAAGTTTGTATCTCCCCTTATCATAAACAAGAGGATCCAAGAACATGATATAAATTAATCATAGCCCAATTTCTTTATGCTGATGAAGACTACTTTTAGAATTTTGTTGAATAGTAATTAATACCACTACTTTTCATAGATCAGGATAATTACAGTGAAAAATTTGTATTTATGCTATCAGATTGAGAGAAGAAGGTTGAATAAAGAGTTGCTAAAATCCTCTATTTTGTGAAGAGAATTTAACTTAATTAATGCTACTAGTTCTTGATATTTACTCTGATGTTAGAGTGCATTATTTTACTATTATATAATAAGAAACCTTATGTTTTGTTAGTTTACTTAAATCATTAGATTACCAAGTTTAAAATGTCTTCTAGAATACTTTAATGTGACATAAAATTATTGAATAAAATTTTTATACAGGGATCAAGCTATGAAGATGAAATTAATAACATTAAGTTTATTATTTCAAGAATCAATACAATTCTGGCTCATAATTCACCAGTTTTGATTGTTCAAAGATGGATCCGTGGTTTCTTAGTTAGAAAAGAATTGAGGTATGTGTTACTTTCTTTACTTTTGAATATTGAAATGTGATAAAAATTACAATCAGTGATAAAAAGTCAATTCTCTCATAATTTGTATTTAATTCTATACTGAAAATTATATTTGATAGACTACTTGACCTAGTTTTAAAGAATACTACAGAATCTATAATACTCTGTTACAGGATTTAGTATAATCAAAATTTACTAATATAATTTTTGTACTGATAAGCAATAGTTTTTGATTGAATAATTCATACTTTTTATTACACTTTAAATGTAAATCAATACTGCATATTTAATTATCTGACATGATGGTCCTGGGCCTTGAATTTAGGGCCTGGACTCTGACCCTGAGCTGCTCTGTGCTCAAGGCTAGCTCTTTGCCACTTGAGCCACAGGGCCATTTCTGTTTTTTTCTGTGTAGTTTATTGGAGATAAGCCTGGACTGGGCTTTGAACCATGATCCCCAGATCTCAGCTTCCAGAGTGGCTCAGATTAGAGTCGTTGGGTACCAGAGCTGGGCCTAGCTTAATCTTTCCTAAATGACTTAAAATATTGATTTTTTCTGTGCTACCAATATTTCTGAATTTGTTTAATTATAGAAATATATAGAAATATAAATCATAAAAATATATGTGAGGGTTTTATATTTTGCTTGTATCTGAAGATAATTTTGCCATATAATTTTGCTGAGCCATTTGCTACCACATTTATATTACCCTTTAGTTTTCTTTTCTTCTTGTTCCTTGTATTCTTTGTAGAAGCAAATAAGGAAAGGAAGGAAAAACCTTTCTTTTAAATAAAGGAAAATCTGTGTTGCTAGAATCTCTCAACATTCTATTGTAGGATATAAGGTTGGATATTCCAGTATAAGTGATTTTTATGCAAGTCATCATGTCTAACTTCAAATTTATGAAAAACAAGTGAATATTTTTATGAAATGTCTTCTCAGTTATTTAATGAGAACTTTTAGGATACAGAAATGAAACTCTGATATATAGGTAGAGTTAAAATAGATATGCAGGAGGACAGTAGCCATTTGCTGAAAATGGAAAATTAGAAAATTTCACCAAAGTGAAATTCAACATTCTTCAGTAAGGCAGAGCAAAAGCCCTCCTTTATTAGTCTGTATGTATTAAAACATGAGTGATAATAATCCTGATAAAGAAAGACCAACTGGAGAACAAGAAACAAATCTGATTATGATATAGTCTCTGCAATTTCTGAGAGAATAGTTTTATAAATGTAAGCAAAACAAGGTCCAAGTCTGAGGAAAAGTGAGCTCACAAATGGGAACATGTTACAGCATTTAGAATTTAGTTGGCAGAGGCTATTTATTTAAACATTTATTTCAGATTCATATTCAACTTAAATTTAGTATATATTTAGAGCAAATAAACTTCTAGTAAAGAGGATTGTCAATCATCTGTGTCTCTTAAGATTGAATTTTCTCTCTTGGACTCAAAGCTCCTTCTGATATACATGAAGATGAAAACTTGCTCTTGAACCCGGCGCCGGTGGCTCAGACCTAGAGCTACTCAGGAGGCTGAGATATGAGGATCGCAGTTCAAAGCCAGCAGGAAAGTCTGTGAAACTCCAACAAACCACCAAAAAGCCCAAAGTGGTGCTGTAGATAAAGTGGTAGAGTGCTTGCCTTGAGCTGAAGAGCTGAGGGACAGTGATCAGGCCCAGAGTTTAAGCCCTACAACCGACAAAAAAACAAACAAACAAAAAACAAAAAAACACTTGCTCTTGAGATCAGTTGCTGCAAACTCAGCATGTAGGAAAGGAAGTTGAGAAATAAAAAATAATTTGAAAAAAATAGTTAAAGACAGAATGGTTAGAATATGTTCTGTTCTTTTAACTCTTTTACTAGGCATATTCACTTTGAACCTGAATTTATCTGTAAAATTGCAAAACAGCATTGTTTATTTTTCAGCTTGATTATAAGAAATGTGATCATAAATATAATGTACATATTTCTTAGCAAAAGTACACATTTTAGTTACATACTGTTTTAAAAATGTTATTGTTATTGTTTTATTTAGTTCTAACTTCACTACTGGACTCAGGGAAACTTTCTTTGGCTTTCTGACTTCCTTCTTATCATGTTTGCACAATGTGCATGGAACAATTTTTCAAAAATAGAAATATATTTTATTCACTAGCTTAAAATACTCTAGTGGCTACCAATTTACATAGGAAAATGTCTGCATAATATATGTGTTGTCACATTCTTCATGCTGCATTGCAATGTCTATATAATTAGCTCTATCACCAGATGTAGTGTAAGCTACATAAGGTAGAAAGACTACATCTCTTTTTGTTCCATGCTGGATCTCTTGTATGTATCAGTGCTTGTAATATGTTGAGTACTGATAATGTTTACTGACTTAATGGCTCCATTAAGAAATAATGAGATTGTGGAAGTGGGAATTACAAATGTGTTTCTATATTTATCTATGAGAAAATGAAATAGAAAAATAGAAAACAAAAATACCTGCATTGAGAGGCACCTATAATTTCTTACAATGTAGGGATTTCAAGTGATCAGTTTGTTGAGGTCTCTTTCCAGCCATGAAGATGTTTTCTCACATTCTATAGTTTTTATCCTGCCTGAATCTTTTCCCATAAAATGACTGAAATGTCATAAATTGCCTTAAAATATTATATATATATTATATATAAACTACATTTTGAATTACATTTAATGGTACTATCATGTGTAGTGGAGATATAAAGACTTTCCTCAGCATGAAGTACTGTAGTCAGATTGGCAGGTAGGTTAAACTTATATGGAAGATTATTGGTTGGGTTGATATAAAAGAAATTGTAAAAATAAAATGGGAAACAAATATTTATTGAATAAATAGTTTATGTGAACAGCCATATTAATCCACTTTATATCACTTAATCCATAAGATTTTGACTTTGTCTTGTATTTTCTGTTTTATAGTAAAACATTAAAAATGTTAACTTGGTAGGAAGGTTAAGATATATATTGAATGTCAGACAGCCATTCTGGTGGTCAGTTATGAGGGGATGAAGCTGTACATGTTAAATGAAAGACAAATCCAAATTCTTGTATGCCTTCTAGCTATCTTTGTACAGTCTTGTAATTTTAAAAGTCTAGTAATTTTCAAAAAAGCTAATATTTTAATATGAAATAATATTTGGAAAATAAAATCTGGGAAGTAGATATGCTTGTTATTATGGGGCTATCATGACTCATAGGCTCTTTCAAGAACAAAATATAAAATGAACTAATTTTCCATCATGATTTCATACTGATATTTCATACTGACACAGAGCGTTCTTTACTGCCTTCATTCAGTTACACTTCCCTTCTACCAGCACAATTTTACTTCCCAAAATTATCAATAATTTGACAATTTAATCCTACATATAATGTATATGTGTACATATACCTATATATGCACCAGTATATAAATAATTATATGTAGTGTATATATTATATACACTAGTGTATATTTATATCTCTCTATACTTAATATATAGAATATATATGCATATACACACATATATATATACACATCTATAGTGTATGTATATTTACATAGTGTATATATGTATGGATATATGGATATATGTATGTATATACATATAAACTATAGTATGAATAATAGCACATAGACTAATATGTATATAATATACTATATGCATATTATATACAAGTATAAACTAGATGCTTATTTATTAATTTACTTATTGAATCAGTGTCTCACTATATGTCCAGGCTAGATTTAATCTCATGATCCTCCTACTTCAGCCTTCTAGGTGCCAAGGTTTGTAAGCTTGAATCATCATACCAGTATTCCTATCATGTTCATTTGTTATCATATTCCTAGTTTAATCTTTCTTTCTTTTTTTCCGATCATGGGTCTTGAACTCAGGGTCAGACTCTGTCCCTGAGCTGCTCTGTGCTCAAGGCTAGCACTTTGCCACTTGAGCCACAGGGCCATTTCTGTTTTTTATTTTTTCTGAGTAGTTTATTGGCAATAAGCCTGGGCTGGCTTTGAACCATGATCCTCAGATCTCAGCCTCCTGAGTGGCGAGGGTTATAGTTGTGAGCACCAGAGTCTGGCCTACCTTAATCTTTACTAAATGACTTTTAAAATATTGATTCTTTTCCCATGCTATCAATATTTCTGAATTTTAATTATAGATTATATCTTGTAAATTTTACGTATTTAGTTTTGAAAGAGTGGGTTATAGGTTTTGGTCTTATGGGTCAGTTTTACATTCTGGCATGCACTTATTGAGTGATATTATTATTCTCCCTTTTCTCTTTTTTTTTCAACTGTGTGGGATTTGTCAGGGGGACATTTACACTGTCCATTTGATAAAAAATTAAGCTTTCTGAACCTATGAAGCTTTTGTTAAACTTAAATACTAAAAGTTCGTTCTTTTGTTGTTTTTGTGTAATGTCCAAAGAGATAATAAGCCTACACTTTGAGACCTCTAGTGTTTAGCCCCATCTTCCATTCTGTGTTATGGACCACTCTTTTATCTTATTTTCTCTGTGTTCTCAATTTATATTCTGTTCCCAGAAGTTTCACTTTATTTTTGGCTTTACCATAGAACTGAGCTGTAGCTGGTTAGTTCTGGATCTTCGTACTCTATAAAAACTCAGGACATTTATCTACGTATATTTGCACATTTTTGAAATATACCAAAATTCTTCAGGATTTGATTCCTATTCTTGACTTGGCTCTCTGATCTTTTCAGAGAGTATATAATTTTGTTTCACTTTTTCTTTTCTGTTTACTTCTCCAGATGCCTCAATATATCCATTATCTCCTGAAATAATTACCCAGTACCACCAAGCTTTACAATTGTCAGTGAATGTTCCACATCCATTCACATTTTGGGTTTCCAAATTTAAGTATCTTATTATGAGAATAATGTATGGAATCATATAATTATCAAAGGAGTTCTTTTAGGGTAATTCAAGTAGTTGACTTCAACTAGTTAAGTATGTCTGGTAT